AAAGTGATCGTACTGTTAGGACATTTGTCCTTGAATTATGAGGAGCATGATATAAAACCAGTTTGTTTATGCAACAATCAAAACAAAGTGATCATACTGTTAGGACATTTGTCCTTGAATTATGAGGAGCATGATATAAAACCAGTTTGTTTATTCAACAATCAAAACAAAGTGATCGTACTGTTAGGACATTTGTCCTTGAATTATGAGACTACCTGACAAAATCCCAGAAAAATGTTCAGCAATGATTTTGTTTCCACATCAAGTCCAACAAAGATGTTTCCACAATACTTATAGACTGATGAAAGATCTGTTAAAATGATGTACAATAACATGTGACACGCTTTCTTATTATATATATATATACGTTGATAAACTGCAGTAGTACAAAATACAATATGACTTAGCATTCCAAAACTGGAATATTCTCTGGAAATTGTGTCAAAATAATTTTTAAAACCATATATTATAGAAGTAGCGAAGAATGTAAATATCAATTAAATAATCCTTACAGTTTAACCCTCTTCTGCAGTGACTATTACAACCTTAAACATAATATAGCCAATGGAAATGAAATAAATAGGAAAAGTGTTTTTACGGACTAAGAACAAAAATACAGAATACAAACATGAAGTACAAGTTGTAAAGACGCAATAATACAATTGGGACTGAGAACAAAAATACAGAATACAAACATGAAGTACAAGTTGTAAAGACGCAATAATACAATTGGGACTGAGAACAAAAATACAGAATACAAACATGAAGTACAATTTGTAATGATGCAATAATACAATTGGGACTGAGAACAAAAATACAGAATACAAACATGAAGTACAATTTGTAATGATGCAATAATACAATTGGGACTGAGAACAAAAATACAGAATACAAACATGAAGTACAAGTTGTAAAGACACAATAATACAATTGACTCATAAAATCACTCTACCTTCTAGTACTGAAGACAAGTAGTAATGGAATGTCCTATAAAATCACAAACATGGACGTGCTTGCTTCAAGTTTATCGGCATAAATTAATTAGTCTTGTAATTATTGTTCTTAACTTTGTTTAATGCAAACTGGAGTTTATTATTAGACATTTCGAGAAACTTAAATAAAATCCCAACCTATATCTCAGTAGGTATCGATATCCTACAAGTTCACTAATCCAGTTATATCTTGTAATTCCTTTTTTTTCAAAACTATTAATAATCTATAGCTTCTAAAAATTTTATAGTTAATTAATGAATGAACATTTTTGAGATTAACTTTTGATTTCAAACCATTTTCAATTAAACAAACTATAAAAAAAACATTAATTGGCAAAATAGATTTATTTGATTAATTAGCTGCTGACAGATGCCAGCTTTTTAAATTGATGGGGGTGCTGGGTGTAGCCAGAAACTCCCATATAACAATCTTTAACTTCATACTTGTCCCAGTAAAAGTATTCCTTCTCGAGATTCTTCTGCTTCGAAGCCCACTGAATTTGATTCTCCATTGCTTCTTTGTAATTATTTTTTGCACAGATTCAGGGTGCTCAAGCATCCACGGAGCTGGCAACTATGGTTGCTGATAAACTGAACCTGGGTTATTAATCTTAAATGGATATTTTACTGTTAATTAACGAAGAATGAGGACCTGGTGTAGCAACATTTTAAGCAGATTCTCATCTACTGCCAACTGGGGATGAAACTTCAACAGTTTAATTTATTTCTTAATGATAAAGAACATTCTTAGAATTTCTTCATTTCATACTGACAAGTATTCTCAACAATCTCCAAAGAACATGCTTAAACAGGAATGTAATAATAAATATGCTACATTATAGAAATATAACATTATGAAAAGAAATTCAATAACTTGAGCACATTTGGAAAGCAGAATTTCCTTCATTAGGGTTAAGTGGCCTGATATTAAGTAACCCAGATAAAATGAGAGAAGACATACAATATACAGTAAAAAAATTACGATCAATTTTGGAACTATGTATATCAACTTTCCTGAGCAGAAAAGGATTAAATAATATTCTATTACAACAATATGATTTTAATTAACCAAAATAAATCAGAAGAAGTTAAAACACCATGAAAAATGAATACATACCAGTACTTTTAAGTGGTAACAACTGTACAACATTAAGGAATTATGTAAAGTAAGCACATAATTTTGTAATGATTTAAACTTAACTTACCACTTTGTTAAAGGTTGGAATTTAAATTCCAGTAAAAATAAAGATTTGTATAATACAAAACACAAAAAAACCAAATCTCAGGCAAGCACGCATCTCTGAATCACACTTCAATGATATTCAGATGCTATTTAAATCAGAAATTATGCCTCTGACAGATCCTATAACTATATTTTCTACAAGCTTGTGAACATTTTGTACAATTTTTTTCAACAATAACTTGGAATATTAAATACCACAAACGTACTTTTGGATGGGATAAAACCAACAAAGATCTAACCATTACATAACAAGAAAAAAAAAGGGGATTGTGAGTCAATATCGTCT